TCTCCAAAATTAAAGAAACATAGGTTTTAACCTCACAATTCAAGCATCAAAGAGCAATCAAAACTTCCTATCAAGCATAGTAACTAAGCATTTTGTTCAATCATTGGACCATTCATATATTCTCAACTAACAACTTGCCACTTTAGCTCATATTTCATAAAATCAACTGAGCAAAAATTTAAGCTGACAAAATTTCTACTGTTTCAGCTGTTTCAAAATTTTCTCAACAAAATGACCTTTCAAAAAATTTTCAAATATAACCCTGTTATCCACAAAATTTTCAAATTTAATCCTGTTATCCACAAAAATCCTATTATCCAAAAATTTCAATCAATCCTCACCCCCAAACTTAAAATTGACAGTCTCCTCATTGTCAACAAGAGGAAAGTAAAGATCAGGGCATGAAAGGTCAAAATTTCGCTTTTCTTCCTGTACAAGTATATCAGTATGCACAACTATCAATAGTATCGTCATCAGATAATCATAATGAAATCATCAATTACTAAAGGCATCCACAAATTAATCAATCAAAAGATCCGTTAACCATTCACATTTTCAATCATTTCGCAACAGTTAACGCAGTGAAAATCAACAATGATAGAAATGCTCAACAGTCAGAATCAGTTCAACAGGCCATCAGTAGCCTTGCCAGAATCATAGAAGCAAAACAACACACAAAAATAGACCAAAATGCAAGAATGCAAAACACACATAAAGACAAAAGCAACAAAGCAAGCAACAACAGCAGCAGAAACGGCCCAACTAGTCATCCTCCTCCTCAGAATGCTGATCCCCCTGATCCTCATCACCCTCTGCAAATGGATCGACGGCCATATCATCGCCCGAGCCAATACCAGCCCCAGAAGTTCCAGCTTCATGTTCATCTCCCGGTGACTCTGCCTCAGTGCTTGTATCTTCCACATCCGGCGCGTCAATGTCCAATTTCCTTGCAATCTGGACTAATAGTTCCTCCATGCGCCTTTGTCTACGTCTCCTGTGACGTATCTCTCTGTCCAATTTCTCGTGGAGGAGATCCAAGCTTTGAGTGGTAGGGTCAACACTGGCACTGGCTTGAGCTTCCTGTTGCCTCCTATATTCCTCGGGGAACTGTTCAGCAAACATGGCTTCAGTGATCCTTTGTTGTTCTCGTTCAGGAACCAGATTAGAGTAGTTGAATGGTGAAACAGCTTGAACTTTCGCTTTGTCTTTCCATTCTACCCCCACTTTAGATAGCAGATCCGAGATGAGGTGAGGCATGACGAGATTTGTGTTGTGGGCTCTGCAGGCATCCCAGATGGCATCAAAAATCAATTTCCTACATCTACTGTCGCCTTGATCATAAACAGATATATCAGGAGTGCCAGATTCCTTGGGGCTTCACTGAGATGCGTGGTTGGCATAATGTTTCTTGTGACAATATGCAACCAGATTCTGGCCTCAGGTATCATGTCTTTTCTCATAATATATGCCTGGCCCCTCTTAGGCCGCACCCACATCTCATCAGAACCGGTGAGTGTTGCTGAGATGGCATCGAGGGGAATCTCTTTCTGATTGTTGAGATACCACTGATATTGGCACTTTTCCACCTCGGGAAGCTCATAGTGATCTCTGATGCGCACCGGAGTAATGAGGAAACGCTGGTACCGTATAAACATCTCATTACTCAAGTTTGTTGCCACCCTAACATAAATTTTCTGACCAGCTTCTCATTCCCTTCACCTTTGGGACCAATCAGATTTAAGAGGTTGAGCTTCCTTGCTTTTTATAAAACCCGAATTTATTTGTGCACGGAAATTCTCTTTCTTGATGCAAACCTCTTTTTTCAATAAGCTCTTTATTGGAGGATCAGGGGAGGTAGCACGGGCTTTCTTCCTGGGGGCCATTGGATTGTTACCTGCAAAGAGAAAGCAAAGCACACCACACACAAACTAAGCAAATAACACCCACAATCACGAAACAACCGACAAAGAAAAAGAAGAAAACTAACCTAAAAATAAAGAAAAACTATCCCCCAAACTTAAATCAAGGAGCCAGACACCATCTCACCATTACTTAATCCCTTTCTAAACCTGAGTTATAAAATACCCCCAATTCAAACCAAGTTCACAAAGGTTCTCTTTTATCTTTTAATTTCAAAATCAGACAACCATCAGTAGCTGCCAATTTAAACTAATTTCACTAAATCAGAATAACATTTCCAAATCAGTTACAAGTGAAAAGAACAACATAACTTGGGTAATGAACCGGTGTTATTTGAAAATTTAGACAAGCCCTCATTTTCTCAAATAGGTCCAAGCTATGATCACTCAATTTCACAAGTATCACATTTTCATCAGTACATGTTCACAGATAGTTGGGCAATAAGGAATTATCACCTAACCACAATGTAACCTCAGAGAATCAAAATGCCCCCATCTAGAGTTCTAAAATCATCTAACCACAATGCTCAACCCTAGCATTACCCATCTCCAGCAAAACTAAACTAGAAGAAAATAAATAAATAAATAAGAAAGAACACACTTACCATGTACGAAGAAGGGAGAGAAAAACGCCGAAACAAACACAGAAGAAGGCACCACGTTGAGGGAGAGAAAGAAAGGCGGTGGAACAAGGAGAGGAAAAGCGACCGGTGGTGGGAGACTGAGAGGCGATGACGGCGGTGGGCGATAAGGTGATGACGGCGACGGTGGAGAGGAAGGTGAAACGGGTGACTGGAGACGGAGTGGTAGGGGATTATCGAATAGGAATGGGGGGAACCGAATGGGGAGGGGATTATCTATGGGGAAACCGAATGGGGAGGGGGGATTTGAAATTGGGATGGGGAGTGAAAAGACCAAAGGGTTAGGGTTTTAAAATTAAAACAATGAATCTACCCTCAAAACCGGTCAGATACACAAGGGCAAAGTGGGTATTGAGACAAATGAGTAAGGTTAAAACGGGGAACACAGAAGAAATTGCGAGAAGGCGCCGCGGCGGATTCACCAAGGCCCGCGCGCCTTTTACAGAACTGCAGACCTAGTTAAGTAAGCGAGCCGCGGCGTCTATGTCCAAACGCCGCGGCGGTTTTTACCGAGGGGACCGAAAGCCATGGACGAAGGCGCCGCGGCGGATTAACGCAGGGGCCGCGGCGCCTATTACAGAAAGGGCATTTTGAAACAGATGAGGCGCCGCGGCTTCTGATCAAATGCGCCGCGGCGCCTCACACAGAGAAGGCCTAAATGAAAAATTAATGAACACAAACTGGACCTACCACAATCAAACACCCTACACACAATAAAACAAGACTAAACACAAGCACAAGCATAAAAACAAACACAACACAAACAACCACATAAAAGCAAAACCCACAAGTCAATTTAACACAAATTAAACCAATCAAGGTCAATGCCACTGCTGGAGATTAAGGTTAGGTGCACTTCCCTGGTTGCGCTAATTAGAAATCAACCACTCCTGCTAAGCTCCAAAGTTTGAGGAATAAACCAAAAGGCCTACAAAAACAAAGATCAACCGTAAATCACTAAAACAAAACCGAAATAAAAGAAACACATCAAAGGCAAGTTTAGAGCTTGGGTTGCCTCCCAAGTAGCGCTTGGTTTATAGTCTTCAGCCTGACTCTTCAGCTCTGTTATGATTGTTCAGCAAAGTAGATCGTAGAAACTTGACGATCCACCTTTCCACCCCAATAATGCTTCAAACGATGGCCATTTGCATGAAATCTTTCACCTTTTTCATTTTCCAGCTCCACCGCACCATGGTTAGCAGCTTGTACCACAGTGAATGGCCCTGACCAACGTGATTTGAGTTTGCCCGGAAATAATCTCAATTTGGAATTATGAAGTAACACCTTTTGCCCCGCTTCAAAGACCTTAGGGATAATTTTCTGATCATGATACTTCTTGGTCCGTTCCTTATAGAGCCTTGCACTTTCATAGGCATTAAGGCGAAATTCCTCCAATTCATTTAGTTGAAGGAGCCTTTTTGCACCAGCAGCTTGAAAGTCAAAGTTGAGCTTTTTTATGGCCCAGTAAGCTCCATGTTCCAATTCTACAGCAGATGACATGCTTTTCCAAACACCAACCGATAGGGAGACATCCCAATCGGAGTTTTATATGCTGTCCTGTAGGCCCAAAGAGCATCATCCAGTTTTAATGACCAATCTTTTCTTGTTGCACCTACTACCTTCTCAAGAATGCTTTTGATCTCTCGGTTGGATATTTCTGCTTGGCCATTTGACTGAGGATGATAAGCCAAAGTTACCCTGTGCTTTACACCATATTTCTTCATCAGAGCTTGAAATTGATGATTGCAAAAGTGAGAACCGCCATCACTAATAATAGCCCGAGGTGCTCCAAATCTCGTGAAGATGTTTTTCTTTAAGAATTTGATCACCGTTTTAGCATCACTGGATACACATGCAGTAGCTTCAACCCATTTCGAGACATAATCCACAGCAACCAGAATGTACTCTTGATTGAGAGACTTTGGAAACGGGCCCATGAAGTCAATTCCCCATACATCAAAGAGTTCAACTTCCAGAATATTATTCAGAGGCATTTCATTCCTTCTTGATATGTTTCCCACTCGTTGACACCGATCACATCGGATCACAAAGGCATATGCATCTTTAAATAGTGAAGGCCAATAAAAACCACTTTGAAGGACTTTGGCAGCAGTTTTCTCTCCTCTAAAGTGCCCACCATAAGCTGAAGAGTGGCAACACTCTAGAATATCTTGCTGCTCAACTTCCGAAACACATCTTCTTATCATCTGATCGGCACATCTTTTGAACAAGTAAGGTTCTTCCCAGAAGTACATCTTTGCATCGTGAAGAAATTTCCTCTTTTGATGGGAGTTAAGGTCTAGTGGCAGAGTTCCACAAACCAGATAATTAACCAGATCTGCATACCATGGAGTAGTTGAGTTATCCACAAAGAACAAGCATTCATCGGGAAAAGATGCATTGATCTCTTGACAATGATCATGTTTAGCTCACTACTTAATCGAGATAGATGATCTGCCACTTGGTTCTCAGTGCCTTTCCTATCAACAATTTCCAAGTCAAATTCTTGAAGCAAAAGGACCCATCGAATCAGGCGTGCTTTGGAATCTTTCTTGGTAAACAGGTACTTTAGGGCAGAGTGGTCTGTATAGATAGTCACTTTGGTGCCCACAATATAAGACCGAATTTCTCACAAGCAAACACCACTGCAAGCAATTCTTTCTCTGTAGTAGTGTAGTTAAGTTGGGCATCATCCAAAGTTTTACTAGCATAGTAGATGGGATGGAAGACCTTCTCTACTTTTTGTCCTAGAACTGCTCCAACGGCAAAATCACTAGCATCTGCCATAATGATGAAGGGTAGCTCCCAATTAGGTGCCACTAAAATTGGTGCTGAGGTGAGCTTCTTCTTTAATTCTTCAAAAGAGTTCATACAAGCATCATCAAACTTGAACTCCCTATCTTTCTCCAACAAATTGCACAAAGGCTTAGTGATTTTAGAGAAATCTTTAATGAAACGACGGTAGAATCCCGCGTGACCCAAGAAACTTCTAATACCCTTAACACTTGTTGGTGGAGGCAATTGCTCAATAACAGATACCTTTGCCTTGTCAACTTCTAGGCCTTGTTTGGATACTCGATGACCAAGGACAATGCCCTCTTGCACCATGAAGTGACATTTTTCCCAATTCAGAACCAAATTAGTTTCTTCACATCTTTGCAAAACAGCTGCCAAATTATCTAAACAACAATCAAAAGAATCTCCAAAAACAGAGAAGTCATCCATGAACACTTCAATTGTTTTCTCAATCATGTCAGCAAAGATGGCCATCATGCATCTTTGGAATGTTGCTGGAGCATTGCAAAGACCAAATGGCATTCTTTTGAAAGCAAACGTGCCATATGGACAAGTAAAGGTTGTTTTCTCTTGATCTTCTGGGGCTATTACAATTTGGTTGTATCCTGAATACCCATCCAAGAAACAAAAGAATTCTTGCCCAGCAAGTTTATCCAACATCTGATCAATAAATGGCAGCGGGAAATGGTCTTTTCTGGTTGCTGTATTTAACTTTCGATAATCCATGCAAATTCTCCACCCAGTCACAGTACGAGTTGGAACTAGCTCATTTTGGGTGTTAGCCACTACAGTTATACCGCCTTTTTTAGGGACGCATTGAACTGGGCTCACCCATGAACTATCAGAAATAGGGTAGACTATGCCAGCAGAAAGCCATTTCAGGATCTCTTTCTTGACTACTTCTTTCATAACCGGGTTTAATCTCCTTTGATGCTCAATGGAAGGTTTGTGACCATCCTCTAATAAAATCTTGTGCATACAAATAGAAGGGCTGATCCCTTTGATGTCAGCTATGGACCACCCAATAGCTTTCTTGTGGTGTCTCAAGACCCTTAACATTTCTCTTCTTGCAACGTGGACAACTGAGAAGAAACAATCACAGGTAATGTAGTAGAATTACCCAAGTAGGCATACTTGAGATGTGATGGTAAAGTCTTCAACTCCAACACCGGCGGTTCATCCACAGAAGGCTTTAGAGGAGAGCTTAAAGCACTAGTCACATCCAGAGGCTCAAAAGTCTTAGCTTTTCGATACGGAAATGCTTCAATACTCATCATTTCTGCATAAGCTTCAACCTTGCCATCAATACTACTTGTTTCTCCAATCAACAATGCTTCTAATGGGTCTTTGGTCAAAGAGTTAATCAACTCCTCTTGCACTGTAGAATCAATCACATCGATACAATTACAGTGAGCAGAATCATCTGGAAACTTCAAGGCTTGATTCATGTTGAATATCACCTTCTCATCATTTACTCGCATGGTGATCTCACCCTTTTCTACGTCAATGAGGGTTCTTGCAGTAGCTAAGAATGGCCGTCCCAAAATAATGGGGATATTCCAATCTACCTCACAGTCTAACACAATGAAATCAGCTGGGAATATGAATTTGTCTACCTTCACCAAGACATCTTCTACAATCCCTTTTGGATATGAGATACTTCTGTCAGCAAAGAGCAATGTAACAGTTGTTGGCCTAGCTTCACCCAAATTTAATCGATTAAATACAGCTAGAGGCATCAAGTTAACACTTGCTCCCAAATCGCATAGGGCTTTTCCATTGAAGTGTTTGCCTATGTTACAAGGAATATAAAAGCTGCCTGGATCTCTCAATTTGGGTGGGAGTTTTCGCTGCAAGATGGCACTACAATCTTCAGTCAGAGCCACCGTTTCAAATTCACCAAATCTCTTCTTTTTGGAGAGAACATCCTTAAGAAACTTAGCATACTTAGGCATCTGCTCTAATGCTTCAGCAAACGGGATGTTGATGTGTAATTGCTTAAACATGTCCACAAATTTCTTGAACTGGACATCTTCATCTTTCTTCCTGAACCTTTGAGGAAACGGAAGTGGCGGCATCTGTGTAGCAGGAGGGGGAGTTGTCTTCCTCTTTTTATCATCAACCATTTCACCCTCTACATTCTTTCCTCGAACCACATCATTGAGATTTTCTTCTGTTTGTTTCCTTTTCTTGGTTTCTTCCTCTTCTACTATACCACCTTCTTCTGAAAGCTCATTTGTATCAAGGTCAGTCACCATACTGTTAGTGATGTCCTTGCCGGTCTGACTAGGCCTCTGAATGTCAGGTAATTGCTTTCCACTTCTCAAACTGATCGCTTTGCACTCTTCATTACCATCCCTTTTTGGATTGGGAATGGTATCACTTGGTAAGCTGCTTCTTGTGAGTACATTCATTTGTGAAGCCAGTTGACCCATTTGCACCTCGAGATTCTTGATGGCAGTTTCATGGAGAGAAAATGTTGCCTTATTCTCAGCCCTTGCAGATTCTTGATTTGCTAATAGTTGAGCAAACATCTTCTCAATTTTGGATTCTTCCTTTTGAGGATGCTGCTGTTGCAATTGATGTTGCTGTGGTTGACCATGAAAACCAGGAGGCCCCATTTGTTTAGCACCAGATGGTAATATTTGTGGAGGATTCAAACTTGGCCCATTTCGCCAAGAGAAATTTGGGTGATTTCTCAAATTTGGATTGTAAGTTTGAGAGTAAGGGCTTCCTTGTGGTCTTCGCTGCGCATTATTCATATAATTGACTGTCTCCAAGGTGTATGGGCATTGATCAGAATGATGTTCCTCATTACAATGGTCACAAGTGTATCCCGGAGCCTGAAGTGCATGAACTCCTGCAGCATTTCCTTTCTTAATCTGCAATTCCAGATTGTCAAATCTCTTAGATATTGCTTCAAGTTGCGATGCAATATCCCTTGATGATGAAGAACTAGGCTCCTTATATCTCCCAGAACTTTGCCTTCTCTTGTTATACTGTTGCATAGTGCTAGATGCCACCTCTTCATACAGTTCATATAGCTCATTTACCTTCATCTTTCCGATTCCTCCGTTTGAAGCGGTATTCAGCATTGTCACTGTCTGATCATTCAACCCATTCCAGAAGGCTTCCATTAGAACATATTTCTTTTGCTCATGATTTGGACAATTTCTCCACATATCCTTGAATCTTTCCCAAGCCTCGTAGAATAACTCATCCGGATGCTGCTCGAAAGAAAGCAATTCACCCCTTAATGTAGCACGTTTGCCCCTTGGAATAAATCTGCCCTTGAACTTAGACACAAGATCATCCCAAGTCTTAATGGAGTGTTCTGGTAAAGAATTCAACCACGTTTTCGCCTTGTGAGATAACGACATGGGGAACAATCTCAATCGCAGTGCATCTTTAGTAACCCCAGTTTGTTTGAAGTTCTCACAAACCTCTATAAACTTGGTCAAATGCTCATTCGGATCATCCTTAAAATTTCCTTCAAAAGTACCCATCATCCCCAGTAGTTGAATCATAACGGGCTTGATTTCAAAATTCCTGGCTTGAATGTCTGGTAACCGGATACTTGAGTGAAAAGTCTGCCCTTCTTTATCCAAATAGTCATCCAGGGTGTACACATCGTTCTCATCTTCCTCCGCCATGTTTTCTTCTGATTCTGATTCAGGTGGTGGTGGTGGAAGTAACTGAGGTTGTTGTTGAATCTCCGGTGTGTTTTCAGTTTCTCCCGACCTGGATACTTCTTCAGTAACTTCTCAATCCCTGATAAACCTTGTCGCTAGGTAATCAAAGTTTTACTAGGGAAAATGCAGCAAGTGAGGCACTACCTAGGTCATTCTTCACAAGGAGCCTTAAGTTGTATTTCAATTCTTAACAATTCACTATTAATTATCAAATTACCAAGATGAGAGCTTTAGTTCAGAAAAAGAGAAATCAAAACAAGAAACAAATCTAATGAAAGGTAAATTGCAAATGAGATTCAGATGAGAGATAGTAGTTCCCCTAGCAATTTATCCAACCTTCCTTGTTCAATCTTATAATTTGGAGTCTCTTAGTGTCAATTAAATGGATAGATTCAGCTACTGCTCAAATCTCTCTTAACATAGATCAGAAACAACTATCTTACTAGATTCATTATTTTGATCTATGAGAAGGAAAATCAATTGACAAGAACACTTGAGAAGCAAGTTGCAATTCTCTAAGAATGACCACAACTGTGAATCATCAATATATTCAACCAAAATTCAGATTTACAGAACAACAGTCCAAGTAAAACGAATTAGATTTACAAATCAACAGAGAATCCTCTATTCAACTGAACTAAAGGACACAACTCACATCTGAATGTTCAATCAGATCTAAATTCCAAGAAACATAAATCTAATCACTCAATCTTCATTCTAATCACAATTGTTCAACTGAAACAAATGACTCTTAGAATAGAAGGTAGAAAATAGATCTGAAATGACTCCCTGTTTAGCTCCATGAACTCAGGTCAGCTTCATTGCTAGAAGAACTTGGAAATTCAGCTACTCATACTCTGGATTAGGGTAGAAACAGCAAGAATTGATGAAAGATCCATGGTTGATCGGTGGAAATTGATGGAATTGGACGAAAATGGAAGAGAGAAATGAGAGAGGGCGGAGAGAGCAAGAAAATCGCGTTGGAGGGAGAGTGAGCAACTGAAATCTGATCCTCCTGTTGAAGCGCGCGACTTCAGCTTTTAAATCTGGAAATTTCGGTCATCCGCCGCGGCTCCTCCGTCAATCCGCCGCGGCTCCTGTCCTGTACGGCGTCGTTTTGATTAATGATCCTGAGCTTCATGAAAACCTCCGTCCGCCGTGGCGCCTTAGTCCATCCGCCGCGGCGCTTTTCACCGAGAGTACCTTGGAAATCCGCCGTGGCGCCTCCGTCAATCCGCCGCGGCGCCTCAGACAGAATGGCGAAAATGCTACTGAAACTTCCTGAAATTCATGCCAAAGCAGGGATCAAAAGTACACACAAATAAAATCATATAAAAACATGTAAAAACACTTGCAAAACCTCATAATTCTTCTCACCAACTCTTATACACAATGGAACCTAATTATGCCCAAAGTATGTAAATATAGATCGCAAAAGTATGTGTTTAGGGCTAGAAATGTATGTAAATAATGAGACTTATCAACTCCCCCACACTTAGCTTTTGCACTCCTGGGCAATTCAAGTCTAAACATATTGTGAAAGAGAAGGATGCAAGAAAGGAATAAGCAAGTTCAAAAGTTCAGGTTACAACTGCAACCAACAATGATTCTTCAACCAACATCCATCCATGGAACATTCTAATGCAAAGAAACCAAGCAATGATATGTAATTTAATCCAAGTGAATAAGATATAGAAGACCACACAAGGGAATTAGTGTATCACTCAACTAACAAGTATCAAAGGTTCTTTCACTCAATTCACTTATTCAAATGCTCTACCATATGCTTGTAATAGCTCTACCTCTCCACCACCTAAATACATAAGTACTCAAGAATCAAGAGGACTTTTGTGGCTTGTAATGTAAGGGTGAGGAAGAAATGCACAAGAATGCATAGAAGGATAGAGATAATATGTGAATCAATGTGTAGAATTCAATAGCATTAGTAATATTCAATTGAGGATTTGACTTCTTGATCTTGAAGTCTAAAGCTATAAAGGTGCTTTTATTCCCACTTTCTTTTCTTTTCTTGCCTTTTTATTTCTTTTCAACTTTTCTATTCTCTTTCTCTTTTTTTTTTTTTTTTTTTTTTCTTTCTTTCTTTTACATTCGCATGTTTCTTCTTTTCTTTGTTGTTTTTTTTTTTCTTTTAAGTTCAAGTATGCATCTCCTCATATCAATCCATCAATTGAATCCATCAAAATGCTAGTGAATTCTAAAAGGAATTAATGAAATGAAATATGCATCCTTGTAGGAAAGAGGTTTTATAAATGAGAGTGAAATGAATGGAAAAATTCAGCTAAAAGGCTCAAATGGGTAACAAGGGATAAATCATGTAGGGGTTGGCCATTTGGTCTAAGTAGCTAAATTGAATGAATGCCTCAATCATGTTCAAGAATACTAATGTTACATGTGGTCTTGATTAAGAACTAAGACAAGTTCTAGAGAGTATAAGAACTAAGTGAATGCACACACCAGAAATGAATATAAAGGCTCAAAGAATCCTTCCAACTAGGCTTGTCTTCCATATTCATTCACCTCAGGTAAAGAACACATCATGCTTAATCTCTATGCATTAGAAAATTTCACTTCAAGATATTAATTTCTAAATCAAATCAGTCACAAATGTAACATTAGAAATCCTGAAGCAAGCTTAAACCTTCAAAAAGTTTTTGAAAACTGAGGTTCTTCTACAAAAGACACAGAACACACAAAAACACAACATTCACTCCCCCACACTTGATCCTTGCATTGCCCTCAATGCAAATTTGAACAAAAGATAGCAAGGAAAAATTGGTAAGGGAAGGAATGGAAAGAAACAACAGAACACTTCAAAACAAACTAAAAACAACCTACACTTGCTACTAGTTATGCCCTCCCCCACACTTGCTCAAAAATGGAGTTCAAGAATGATAATAATCAAATAAACACAGACTAAAGTGTGTAAGGAAGGGGACAACCTGAAATTATGGTGGATCAAAATTCTCCTTGTAGATTTTGAGCAGGTGACCATTGACCTTGAAAGTCTTACTGCTCTTCTCATCTAGCAGCTCTATCATGCCAAATTTGTGAACTTTAGTGACCAAGTATGGTCCTTCCCATCTAGTGCTCAACTTCCCAGGTTTAAATGTGAATCGTGCTTTATACAGCAACACTTTATCTCCAACCTTGAAAGTCTTCCTTAGGATTTGCTTGTCATGAATCATCTTTGTCTTCTCCTTATAGAACCTGGAATTTTCATATGCTTCGAGTCTCAACTCTTCAAGTTCCTGCAATTGCAATAATCTTTCCATACCAGCAGAATCAAAATCAAGGTTACATGCTTTTACAGCCCAAAGAGACTTATGTTCAATCTCAACCGGTAGGTGACACATCTTACCATAAACCAATCTGTAAGGAGACATGCCTATTGGGGTTTTAAATGCAGTTCTATATGCCCACAAAGCATCATCTAATCTGGCACTCCAATCCTTCCTAGATGGTTTAACTATTCGTTCCAACACCTTCTTGATTTCTCTATTTGCATTTTCAGCTTGCCCATTACTTTGGGGATGATAAGGTGTGGATGTCTTATGTGTCACACCATACTTGGTGAATAACCCTTGTAGCAATTTATTACAAAAATGAGTGCCATTATCACTAACTACTGCTCTAGGAATGCCAAATCTAGAAAAGATGTTATTTTTCAGAAATTTTAAAACAGTAGCAGCATCATTCTTTTTGGTTGCTATGGCCTCTACCCATCTTGAAAGGTAATCAACTGCAAGAAGAATGTATGTAAAACCCATAGAAGGAAGAAAGGGGCCCATAAAATCAATACCCCATACTTCAAACACCTCACAGAAAAGCATTGGGTGTTGGGGTAATTCATGTTTCTTAGTTAGGCCACCAAATCTTTGACAAATGTCACAATTCTTGCAATACTCATAAGAGTCTTTAAAGAGTGATGGCCAATACAAACCAGCTTCCAATATTTTTCTTGCAGTCTTGTTAGCACTAAAATGACCTCCACAAGTTTGAGAGTGGCAAGCATGCAGGATGTCTTGAAATTCTTCATTTGGTACACATCTCCGAATGATTTGGTCGCTGCATACCTTCCAAAGGATTGGAGGATCCCAAATGTAGTGCTTAGACTCACTCTTAATCTTCTGCATCTGAAAATGAGACAAGAGGGGGGAATTAGACCAGCAACTAAAAAGTTGACAATATGGCAATACCAAGGTTCCAAGAGAGACAAGGCAGAAACAGAACAATCCTTAAACTCATCACAAACAGAATCTGAACCGATTACTCCCCTTGTAGTTTCTGGTAAGCGACTTAGATGGTCAGCCACCACATTTTCTGCTCCAGGTTTGTCTTTGATGTCAATGTCAAACTCTTGGATCAACAACATCCACCTTAAGAGCCTCGGTTTGGATTGTGGCTTGCTGAAAAGATACTTGACAGCAGAATGATCAGTGAAAACAGTAACCTTAGAGTTAATTAGGTAAGGCCTAAACTTGTCTAATGCAAAAACAATAGAAAAGAGCTCCTTTTCAGTAGTTGTGTAATTAGTTTGAGCCTTATCTAGAGTCTTTGAAGCATAAGCAATAACCTTGGAAACCTTACCATCCTTTTGTCCCAAAACTGCACCCACTGCATTATTAGAGGCATCACAACACAATTCAAATGGTAAATTCCAATTAGGGCAAGTCAAAATAGGTGGAGAAGTCAATCTGGATTTAATCTCATCAAAAGACATCTTACACTCATCAGTGAAATCAAAGGAAGCATCTTTTTGCAGCAATTTAGACATTGGAAAAGTCACTTTACTAAAATCTTTTATGAATCTTCTATAAAATCCAGCATGGCCTAGGAAAGATCTAAGCTCCTTAAGATTTGTTGGATAGGGTAGAGAGGAAATTACTTCAACCTTTGCTTTGTCTACCTCTATTCCCTTTTCAGAAATTAGGTGACCTAGA